TATTTGGTTTTCAGCTGGAGGAAATTGATACCAAAATGCACATCTATGTTCTTACCAACAGACTAGAGCCTGTCCAAGAGGACGGAATGAAAGTGTGAGACATGAATACTAAACTTTTTACACGGGTGATGGGGAAAGGAGGGGGGTGGGGGAGGCTAGAGTTTCAGATCCATGATTGTGTCTGGTACATGGTGCTGCGTTTCTAGGTTTGCCCTTCGTTCTGTAATTTGGGAATACTATGGGGCTGATTTCATACATACCGTACATGCATAAAGTACATACCATACATAAAGTAAGACCTAACCCGAAAATAAGACCTACCCCGAAAATAAGACCTATCGCTATCTTCAGGGATTTCTGTAATATAAGACCTACCCCGAAAATAAGACCTAGTTCAGCGGTAGGGGGCGCACATGTACATGCACCCAAGCAGCCAGCAAGGGGTGTGTTGGAGTGAAGCGAGGAGTGTAAAAATCAATGATACCGGTATGTGCAGCTTGTCTCCTGTCTGCAAGATCGCAAAAAACTTTCTGACCGCCGCAGCTCCTTCATTCTCTCATCCCCTCCTGTTGGCCCGTCTGCCCCCGGGTCCTCGGCTTTTAGGAAATTAGAGCTGCCGCTGGAAAACTACGTTTCCCAGCAGGCCCAGCGGCATGGCCAGTGGGGTCAAAGCTGAGGTGATCTGATTGGCTCCCTGGATGGCATTACAGAGCTCCAGACAGCTGCAGCCAGGTACCGTACTGTGACAGTCACAGTACTATTCTTTCACTCCAATTCTCAGTACATTACATACCGGTGTCTCTGCTCTGTGTGACAGCAGTGTGCCTCGGCATATTTTATCATCATCAATTATTTAGAGATGTTTTATAAAACAGTTTTATCTCTACCGCATTATTTAAATTATGGTAGAAAAAAAGTATGTGAGGGGATCCTCAATGGGGAAAGTATGCAGTCTATAATGTCCCCATTGAGGATCCCCTCACATACTTTTTTTTCTACCATAATTTAAATAATGCGGTAGAGATAAAACTGTTTTATAAAACATCTCTAATTAATTGATGATGATAAAATATGCCGTGGAGGCTGAGGCACACTGCTGTCACACAGAGCAGAGATACCGGTATGTAATGTACTGGAGAAGGGGAAAAAAATAAGACCTAGTGTGTGTTTTGTTGGTTTTTTTTGGGGGGGAATATAAGACAGTGTCTT